CCCCCGGCCCCCCCCCCCCGAGGCAGGAGCCTCGAAGCCTGAGCTGGCAACAGCCCTGGTGATCAAATGCCCAGACAAGGGGCCACAGCAGTGCAGGACAGGCCCCTGGGCCTGAGAAAGGCGAAGGCAGGAAAAGGGAACCAAGGCCTGTGCTGGGAGAACGCCGGGCAGCATGCTCTCCAGTCTAGAAGTCCATAGAGCTGTGGGCCAGGTAGTCCTTGCGCCCGATGTTGCTGACTTGCTTGGTCTGCATCGCCTCCAGCTTCGGACAGTCAGTGATGCGATGGCCCAGGCCGCCACAGAAGGCACAGCCCCGCTCCTCTGCAACGGGAGGGACGAGGTCAGGGGGAGCTGTGCCACACCAGGAGAGCGACCCCCACCCCAGAAGCAGAGAGGCCATGCCAGTGTCCTGCCGCAGCACCGGGCTGCCCGCACGGCCAGGCAACGACAGCCCCGAGGCAGGCAGAAACCAGCCCAGGAGCCTGGAGCAACAGGAACTGGGGGTCCTGTCCACAGCCCAGGCCTCTCAGCAGCCCTGCGGGAGGTCCCTGTGCCAGCCCGGGGTCTCTCACCTCCAATATTCAGCATGGTTTCATCCCCGCAGTGCAGCACCTGGAGCACAGGTGGCACCTTCTGCTTTGCCTCCAGGAGAAGGGCCTTCAGGTCCATCAGCACCGACTCATCTGGGGGCAGAGACACGGATCAGACGCAGCCCGAGCAGGGGTGGGGAGCACTGCCCCATGCCACCACCTCCCCTCCAGAGGCCATCACGACTCGTCCCTGCTTGCTCAGGACCGCCCCCCGCCAAGGCAGGGGGCTCCATCGCACAGCTGCCTCCTACAGCTGCAGCAGCCCCCAGTCCCACGCTGCTTCTCACCGCAGGCCTTATTGATGAAAGTGGTGGCAATGCCAGTGTTGCCCGAACGGCCTGTCCGCCCGATACGGTGAACTGTAGAGAAAGAGACAGGATCAGGTCTGGGCAAATGCGATGTGACAGACCACCCCTGCCCCCAGCCACTGCAGAGACTTGCTGGCCCCTGCACCCACCCTGCCGCACCCTTGTTGGTCCCCCATGGGGCCCAGTCCCCACCATAGTTCTCAATCTCCTCCGGCATGTCGTAGTTGATGACGTGCTGGATGGCTGGGAAGTCCAGACCCTTGGAAGCTACGTCAGTGGCAACCAGAACATCCTTCTTCCCATCCCGGAAGGCCTCAATGGCTTTTGTCCGTTCCTCCTGATCTGCAAAGGCCCAGCAGATAAGATCAGCAAGGACAGAGCTCCCAGTCCAGCCTCTCGCAGCGACCACTATGGCCTCAGAGCCAAGCACCACTCAGCCAGAGCTTCCCCAGCAAGAGGACCTATGCAGCCTTTCCCCAGATGGAGGAGCAGAGGGACCTGTAGGTCCCAGAGGGACTTGCGCTGTGTTCATGCCTGCTCCATACAACGTGGCGTTCGCTCCCAACACTGCCGCATCCCTTTCTCACACCATCACAAGGGAATGTGGAATGCTGGGAACTCCCACGGCTAGGTACCACCCTGGCAGGAGCGGGGTCAGGCAGGGCCACGCTGCAGCCCAGGCCCCCCCAGGACTCTCACTAACCTTTCCCTCCATGGATGGCCACAGCTTCCACACCCTTGAGCAGCAGGTACTCGTGGATCGCATCGACATCCGCCTTCTTCTCCGCAAAGATCAGCACCTGCCACAGCACAGAGACCATGGAAGAGCAGCCTTTCTGCGGGCTGGCACCAGCACAACCCCCCGGGAAACTCACTCCCTCTTGCCGAGCAGAGCAGGCAACAGCTCTGGGCCTAGGACCTGCTTGTACGCGCAGCACGACTCTCTCACACGCCTACCCTGCAGCGTCATGGCTGCGTTCCCACTGCCAGCTCCAACCGTGCTGCCCCCAGCCATGCTGCCAGAGCAGCCAGAGTGCACTACTCACAGGTGGTGGGGTCTTCTGCAGGCACTCGAGGAGATACACCATCTTGGCCTCCTCCTTCACATATTCCACTTCCTAGGAACAGGCAGAAAGATGAGTCAGGCAGGCAGCAAATGAACCACCATTGCTCGGCCTCCTTTAACTTGTTGGGAAGGAGGGCCACAAACTCCAGATGGGAGGCATCAAGTAACCTCATGAACAGTGCTGGTCTCCCACACAGGCATGGGGGAGCTCCCAACCATCTCACCTGCACAACGTCCAGGCTGGCAGCACCCGCTCGCCCGACGTTAATGGTGATGGGCTTCACCAGGGCACTCTTGGCAAAGTTCTGAATCTTCTTGGGCATTGTAGCACTAAAGAGGAGGGTCTGCCGCTGGCCCTGCATAGGGAACACAGAGTGAGCAAGGATTTAGCACTTGCCCGACCAGGTGGGTGCAGAGGTTGAACTTCAGGGTGCTCGTATCATGCCAGCTCAGTACCTTGAAGTAGGAGAAGATAGTACGGATGTCCCCCTCAAAGCCCATATCAATCATTCTGTCAGCCTCATCCAAGGCCAAGTAACGGCAGATGTCCAGGCTCACCATCTTCTTCTGCAGCAGGTCCATCAGGCGGCCAGGGGTTGCCACCATCATGTGTACACCACTGTGGGACGAGAGAAGACCATGGTCAGGCACCCAGATTCCTGCCCCACAGTGACACACAGGGAAGGTAACACCCACTTGGCATGTCGCCTTTGCCCCCACACCTTCCTGAAGCCATCTAGCCAGGGTGCCACCCCATAGCTCCCTGACAGAAAGCAGAGCACAGCTCCAGCCCCAAAAACTCCTCCCAGAAGGTCTTACTGTTTGATTGTCTCCATCTGCTCCTTGACAGACATGCCCCCAATGCAGAGGGCACAGCGCAGCGGGGGCAGGCTGTCCTCCTGCAGCAGGCGGCAGTAGTACTCAATGATGCCATGAGTCTGCCGGGCCAGCTCCCTCTGTGGAGAAAAACGTTCATTCCTACGCTTCCATGTGGAAAGGACCTGGGATCACCACCGAACATGGATAAAAGTGTTCTCCCACATGCCACCTTGCCCCGACACTCACCGAGGGACAGATGATCAGTCCATAGGGTCCCTCTCGCTTGGCAAACGGCAGCCTCTTCTCCTGCTCCAGGCAGAACATGATCACTGGGAGGGTGAACACCAAGGTCTTCCCAGAGCCAGTGAACGCAATGCCAATCATATCCCTTCCCGAGAGGCTGGCAGAGAAGCGGGGCCGATGGTGAGGAGCAGCACCACAGACTGGCTCAAATCTCCAGGGCTGAGCAAGGTGACAGGGCACCTCTGTCACCAGCAACCCACCCCCCACCCTGGAATGGGGAAAGAGCACTCACATTGTGGGGATGCCTTGGATCTGTATGGGTGTTGGCTGCTGGATTCCTTTTTTCTTCAGGCCCCTCAGGATAGCTGGCAGAGAACGAGGGACATGCACGTTCATGACCTGAAGTCTTCCCACTCTTAACATCCCAGCAGCAACAAACACCTGCTGGGCCAGCAGCTAGGCAATACAGCCACCATCAGGAATTCAGGCTGTGACCCCACTAAAAATGTGACAGCTTCACCTGCTGATGTGAGTTTCCCAGGAGAACTCCGCCCCCTGCCCTGCCAGACTCCTCTCCTGGCCCACCTGCTGGGAACTTCATCTCCTTGAAGCTCTTGATGGGGGGTGGGATGCCTTCTCCCTCCACCAGGATGTGGTACTTCTTGCGCACGCGGTCGTGCCGTGCTTCTGACATGCCCAGGATGTAACGAGGTGCTCTCCAGCTTCCAAGGCAACAGAGAAAGGTCGTGGTGCAGAACAAGGCTGGGGCTGCAGAGCCAGCGCCCTCCATGCAGGCCCCAGGGGAGCTCCCTGCCGGGCTCCAATATCCCACCAGGGAAAACAGGTAACCCCAGGGGCCTTTGTGGTGCAAGCACAGGGGCAGATCCAAGCCAGTCCCGCACATTAAATGTTTCCCCGAAGTCTGAGCTAACTCAAGCTAACAGCTGAGAACAGTCTACTGATGCTGATGGTGGATGGAACATGACAAAGTCTTCTGGGCACATCTTGATCATCTCTCTGACACTGCCTCACACAGCACTGGCTCTGTGGGCTCACCCACTCTCTTTCTCTAGCTTAGACACTTCCAAGATCTGAAGATCCACCTCAAGCGTTCGAGTTCAACACAAACATACCCTGGAATATCTTAACTGTACATAAACCAACATCCAAGGTGACTCAACAGCCGTCAGTCTCACATATAGCAGGCAGGGGAGCAAGAGGAAAGCCGGAAGCTGCAGAGCAGTGCTCCTCCCGTGAGGCTGCACAACTGCTAGTTCTCTGCAGTTGTGCAGGAACATCGCCAGCATTGCTTCCATTGCCAGGAAGCAATGTTTTTCAGGAGGACAACCTCCTTACTGGGGAACGCACCTGGTTTTAATCGGATCATCATAGGTGATGCCCTTGGCCATCTCCTTCACTGACATCAAAGCTGCAAGAACAAAGCTGACCAGGTCAGTGCAAACTCTCCACATCCAGATGCGCATAACTTCCGGAGAGAACTACTTGGGTAAACAGTTTGGGAGACAGTGCCCGGAGACAGAGGAGGAAAAGTAGCACCCCTGATAGCCCCTCTGGGCGGCCGCCTGCCATGCCTAGGGATCTCCCACAGCAACGTCTCAGCTAAGCCAAGCAGCTGGATGCTGACTGCAGGATCCTGTTGTGATCTCCTCTCTCATCCTGGATGTGAATGTCCCTGAGTGTTGCTCAGCTGCCTTGACAGCTCTGGAGACAGGTCTGAGACACGGAGCTCCCACCACTCACCTCGGCCCTCTGCCACACTCTCCAGGATCTTCTCTTCCTCCTTCAGCTGCTTCTCCTTGGCTGACTCCTTCCGAGCTGGGGGGAGAGTCAGGGAGACAGTGAGGAGGTTTCAGTCCCTCCCAAAAGGTGCTTGGCCCTACTGCCAGTTGCTCCCCTACCTTCTGCCTTCTCTTTGAGGTGCTGGTGCTGGTCCAGGAGGCTGATGTTGGACTGTGGCCCCAGGGGAATGTCATCCTCATCCCCCCGCTGCTCGCTCCCGCTGTCCCGCTGCTCCTCCTCCGACACCACCTTCCGCCGCATCTGCAGCAGCTTCTGCAGCTGGAAGGCAGCGGACGGAAGCAGAGTGAGATGCCCGGCACCGGGACGGGCGATCCGAGCCCACTCCCGGCAGCGCGGGGCCCCGTTACCATCTGCTGCTTGCGCTGCTTGACGGGCACGTAGGGCACGTAGTCGTCGTCATCTTCCCCGG